GACCCAAAGAAAGTCTCTTGTAGTAGGTGGAACTTCTCCTGATTTAAACACCTTGTAACTGACAGAGAATTGGGCTCATTATCTGAAAACTGACTTTGTAAATTTGGTATCGCAGCGCTGCTAAGGGACTAGAAAAATTCAGAGCTTCTGAATTTCAGATCATATAGAACATGAAGTCCCAACCTCCTGTGTTTATTAAAGACCAGCTAATCTTTTGTAAAGGTTTTGAATCGGTACTCTTAATATCATGGGAAGTGATTACCCCCTCTATACTCACTCTAGGCCATGCTGCCTCTCAAAAAGAAGTGCTACTGAAGACGTCTAATAAGTGTCACAGGTAGCAGATACAACATTAAGTACATCCTGACAAAAGATTAATAGCAGGGGTGCTGCACTGCAGGACTGAGGCAGGTAACCAAATGAGTAAATGTCACATGAAGGATTATCCTCATTTGATGCTATTTCATAGACCTCCTTTCTGCATAATCTCTCCCAGCTGAGACCTAAACCAGGTGTTTTCAAATGCACAAAGTAGAAGCTTTACCTGGTGTGCTAAAGGAGATCCACTATTAGCTGTCAGCAGGAGTGACATCTTCTTTTCAAGTACACAGCCAGTAGTCAGGATACAGCATTACACTGCCAGCTGACAATGACAAAGCGCCCGCCAAGTCAAGCCCTATCCAGATTGTGCTAAACTATTACTATTTATTATTCGAACTGCAGTAGTACCCATGTCAAGGACCAGAGCCCTTCTGTGCTCGGCTCTGTAAAAACAGAGCGCAAAACGAAGCTGCTTTCATTTGTTTTCATCCTCAACATCCCACAGTGCTCCTATAGAGAGTCCTATGCTGAAAAGCTGTGTGGAGCACGGGATGTAATCTTTTAGCCAGAGGATGTACTTTTTGTAGCCAATGTAAAGATCAGTGAGGTTCTGGAGACGTTTTCCTAACATAAGTAGCACCTTTGCAAAAACAGGTTAAAAGAGCATTGAGCCTGCAAAATCAAACACACCAGAACTAAACCTGCCCATGCCTTCGTGTGCGGACTCATCTTTTAGTTATAACTAAAAGCTGACTCATCAGCTTTTAGTTATGTGACCATGCAACCCTTTTCCCCCCTGCAGGATTCATAACTCATTCAGTGCACAAGATGCACAATAGTCTTCAGTGAGAGACCCTCTGGTATTTTTCTTCTCCTTGCCCAGCATATTGCCCATAGGCCTTCCTTCCATTGTATTTAAACCATCAGTGAATACATAATTACTGATATCCTCCTGAGCTTCTCCACTGTTCTCATCACTGTATAATCTAAGTGCTTCACAAAACATTAATGCTTTCAACCTCCCTCTGAGGTGAAAGGGAAGGACTCATTTTGCACAGGGACATGAATCACAGAAAGATGAAGGTAAAAAGTGCTACTCATTGTGGTTGCCCAATTTCAGACATGGAGACCAGATCTCCCAGGTTAGTTAACATGACACAGCACATGAAATGTTCAAAACAGCTGTCAGTAGCTTCAAGCCATGGCTGTGAGCAATTCGGCTCCTCTGCAGAATTAAGAGTGGTAGGCTGGGCCTCCAGAAGAGAAACTGTATGAGCCTGGTCGTCACTTCCGACTAGTTCAGTTTGCCCAGCATCAGGCTGGGATTGTGTTGCAAGAGCAGGGTCCGCGCTCCAGGCAGAAAACAACCTGGTAAGAGGCTCCCTCCTCTTTTACAGCTGCCTGGGACAGGTGAGGCAGGGTCCTGCGGCTCTGACTGATCCAGGGAGGATGTTCAGCCTGTGCGCTGAAGCAGGCAGGGGCCCTGCAAAAAAATACTGCGCAGCCCTGAAATTAAAGATGGTATCAAAGCACAATCACAAGAGGGCAGTACCTTCATTCACCTTAATGACTGGCTTCTGCATGCTTTATTTTGCAGCTTTTTCTCTCTTCCAGTGAAATCCTATGTTGTGCTATATAAAAGCATTTTGACCCAGCTTGCTTAACCTGGACAGTTCCTGGTCTGACTCCTGTCTCCTCTGAAGACCACATTCTTTTTCACATTCAGGGAAGGCTGTTATGGCTGGGCAGACAGCTTAGCCTCCACAGGCTTCCCAGGGAGGTACCAGATTAAGCAGAGCTGCAGCTGCAGGGAAAGGTCCTCCTTCCTCTCTGTGGGCCCTGGACTGGAACATGCTGAATGCTTAGTCTATTTAACACACGCTAATAGAAACCTCTTAAGGGCTTATCACTTGGCTGAATGGAAAAATTTCTCAAGAACAGCAAAGATCACATCTATACCATCCAGGCAACATCCCTGGCAAACTGTAGCTTCTCAGTGAATAGGCAGCAAGAGGTCTTTTAGTTTGTAGAGAGAAGTCTCTTCTTCCCTAACTTCATTCTGAGAAATTAATAACTTTGCTGATGCTTTTTGGAAACACTCAGCATTAGACAGGTATCTGCCATGAAAAATGCTGCCAAGTGTAAACTATTTGGGCTAAGTTAAACGTGATTGGAAACAAGATCTAAAAGTAGAAGGATTGTGTAATGTTAAGTATAGTTAATGCTACTGATGTTGCCTAAAATACAAATCCTTCCTGTCTTGCAATTCCATCTAGTGGCCT